CTGTCTCAGCAGCGCTATAGTAATGTATTATTGATCAAACGTCTCTCTCTTCAAACAATATCCTACTTCGCCTGGAGCGAGAAGAAAAGAAGGGAAAGAGGGAGACGGATGTGCTGTGTAGAAAACACATTTCCTCTTCCCAGGCCAGGCAGTGACAAAGTTTCTGCATTTCCTCATCTCCAGTTTGTCACTTTAGCTAGCTGACACCGCAACAAGACACATGGCTGGCAGGGAGCTCTATCTCTCAGCTAACAAGACTCATCCTCCTCCTAGAAAGAAAGGTGTTGGTGGGTAGATGGGAGGAGGTGTTTTCACATTACAGGTCTTGCTCCATTTGACTCTCAAAGATTTAAAAAAAAACAGACATTACCGAATTACATTTCATCAACACTTTCTTGACCTTACTATTTGACCCTAACTTCTTCTCTAAAAGACTCAAAAGATCCAGTTTTCGAGTTTCAGATTCGCAGTCTTTTCTTTTAAAGGTAAAATGAACAACAGTCATTGTTGTGTACGCAATTGGTAACTGATAGCATGTATGAGAAATGATAGCTACTATAGAAATGATAGCTATAGCTTATTATATACCAGCTGACATTGAGGCCCCAGTATACCGATCACCCCTTTTTACTTTCCTGTGTTAGGCCATTTACCTCCCATTGACTTCATTCATGTCTGGGCTTTAAAGTACTATTGAGCAGAAGGGAGGCAGGCAGGCTTCCAGAGCAGCTGGGGCCGGGGGGGCAGCTGGGGGCGGACCACAACGTGGTCTCTCGGGGCAATTGGGCTTCATTGGCAAAAGTGGGCATGTAAGTAATCCATACCCAACCCTCCAGTAAATTGTGACAAACTCATTTACAAAACTCTGTTTTGGAAGAGACTGACTTTATGACCAAAATTATCCTATTTACACTTTGTAGTCAGTTATGACACTGGAATTTATGTTTCTGACTCATATCGATGCGACATAGGCTTTTTAAAACCAGAGAAGTTGGTTCTAAGGGGCAGTTGATCTTTAAACCCTTTATACTCATACCCGTATACGGGTTGTAAATTGCAGATTTGGGCACTAATAAGCGCCTAAATTGGAACATAGTGGCTGTACAGTAACATGCTATACATGATGTCAGAGCTCTGGCTCTGCGCATCAAAGAGCTGTATGGGTTTTGACTGACAGCCATTCTGAACTTGAGCACCGTGCACAGCAAGAATTTCCCCCATCCCTCCGGTAATTGGGCTCTTGCACATTTGTTGTTGTCGGAGTGAGGAAAATGCAGTAAATGAAGATGACTCGATGTATTTTGAAAGATGAAACATTACAATAAATACCGCTTTGATGTCATACAAGCAAGCCAAACACTCGTAAGTCTTTTATCATCAATGATCTATTTCATATTCACATAATGTTTCCCACAGTTGTGTCAAGTTGGCTGGATGTCGTTTGGGTAGTGGACCATTCTTGATGGACACAGGAAACATTTGAACATGAAAAACCCAGCAGCATTGCAGTTTTTGACACAAACGGGTGCGCCTGGCACCTACTACCATACCTCGTTCAAAGGCACTTCAAGCTTTTGTCTTGCCCATTCACCTTCTGAATGGCACACATACACAATCCATGTCTCAATTGTCTCAAGGTTTAAAACTCCTTATTTAACCTGTCTCCTCTCCTTCATCTACACTGATTGACATCAACAAGGGATCATAGCTTTCACCTGGACTCGCCTGGTCAGTCAGGTGTTCTTAATGTTTTGTATACTCAGTGCATATATGACTGTATATACTCTATATAATGATTGTAGCCTATACACATGATATATCAACTTTGAGGTATACTTGATTAACACAAAAATAGTGTCTTTACCATGATTAAATAGTTATGACTATGGTCTATGGTAATCTCCTTCCATTTCTCTTAGTCTGTTTGTGAAACCCCAAGACTACTACTAAAAAAGCCTCTGCTTTCATGGTTAATTTCACCAACACTGTTCTATTGATTGTAGCCTTTTATATCTGAAATATTCCACATTTACTGTAGGTCAAGCAGCACAACCAAGTTCATATATATTTATTATAAACAATACGGCTATAACATTGCAATGAACAAACTTGTTTTACCATAGATTTGATATACCCAATAAAACATTTCTTAAACTGTCAGATTTTAACATTGATATTGTAAGACATAATCCATGATTTGTACAATCAATAGCGCAAAATCTGTTTTTAACATTAGTTAGAAATGGAGGACAAGAGAAACAAACATCACACTTCTTAATACAGGGTCAATGTACAATTGGAGAACATTTCTGTTATTTCAAATGTATTCAATACATATTAAAAGGTATTTTCAGTTGATTGTGTGTTTGCTTGTTTAGTACCTATTAAGTACCTATACGATCTATAAAATTCACATGTGATCCAAAAACATGAAATACGTTTTTGGATCACTTTTCAGATCCATCATAAAACTGGTGGATAAGTTCAAAGCACAGAGCATAACAACCTATCCCATGTAAACTTGAGCTAAAACATTTTATGATTAAATCTCTTTAGTAAACCTGCATTCCTAATTCCACACAAATATTGATTAATGGTTATTATAGAATTCTATCTAGGTTTAGATGGAGACTATGGATGTATTCTGGGATCATTTATTCAGTAGTTATAAATCACTATTAAGTTATAATATAGCAGACATTAAAAGTGCATTCTGTTGATAGATGTAATCTCATTTACAGTGGATTCGGAAAGTATTCAGACCCCTTTTTCCACATTTTGTTAAGTTTCAGCCTTATTCTAAAATTGACTAAATATATTGATATTTTTTTAATCATCAATCTACACACAATACCCCATAATGACGAAGCGAAAACAGGTTTTCAGAAATGTTTGCAAATGTATTAAAAATAAAAAACAGAAATACCTTATTTACATAAGTATTCAGACCCTTTGCTATGACTCGAAATTGAGCTTAGGTGCATCCTGTTTCCATAGGTGCATCCTGTTTCCATTGATCATTCTTGAGATGTTTCTACAACTTGATTGGAGTCCACCTGTGGTAAATTCAATTGATTGGACATGATTTGGAAAGGCATACACCTGTCTATATAAGTTCCCACAGTTGACAGTGCATGTCAGAGCAAAAACCAAGCCATGAGGTTAAAGGAATTGTCCGTAGAGCTCCGAGACAGGATTGTGTCAAGGCACATCTGGGGAAGGGTACCAAAACATTTCTGCAGCATTGAAGGTCCCCAAGAATACAGTGGCCTCCATCCTTCTTAAATGGAAGAAGTTTGGAACCACCAAGACTCTTCCTAGAGCTGGCCGCCCGGCCAAACTGAGCAATCGGGGGAGAAGGGCCTTGGTCAGGGAGGTGACCAAGAACCCGGTGGTCACTCTGACAGAGCTCCAGAGTTCCTCTGTGGAGATGGGAGAACCTTCCAGAAAGACAACCATCTCTGCAGCACTCCACCAATCAGGCATTTATGGTAGAGTGGCCAGACAGAAGCCACTCCTCAGTAAAAGGCACATGACAGCCAGCTTGGAGTTTGCCAAAAGGCACCTAAAGGACTCTCAGACCATGAGAAACAAGATTCTCTGGTCTGATGAAACCAAGATTGAACTCTTTGGCCTGAATGCCAAGCGTCACGTCTGGAGGAAACCTGGCACCATCCCTACAGTGAAGCATGGTGGTGGCAGCATCATGCTGTGGGGATGTTTTTCAGCGGCAGGAACTGGGAGACTAGTCAGCATCGAGGGAAAGATTAACAGAGAAAAGTACAGAGATCCTTGATGAAAATCTGCTCCAGAGTGCTCAGGACCTTAGACTGGGGCGAAGGTTCACCATCCAACAGGACAACGACTCTAAGCACACAGCCAAGACAACGCAGGGGTGGCTTCGGGACAAGTCTCTGAATGTCCTTGAGCAGCCCAGCCAGAGCCCGGACTTGAACCCGATCGAACATCTCTGTAGAGACCTGAAAATATCTGTGCAGCGATGCTCCCCATCCAACCTGACAGAGCTTGAAAGGATCTGCAGAGAGGAATGGGAGAAACTCCCCAAATACAGGTGTGCCAAGCTTGTGGCGTCATACCCAAGAAGACTCAAGGCTGTAATCGCTGCCAAAGGTGCTTCAAGAAAGTACTGAATAAAGGGTCTGAATACTTATGTAAACAATTTAATCCATTTTAGAATACGGCACAATGAAATGTGGAAAAAGTCAAGGTGTCTGAATACTTTCCGAATGCACTGTATAACCCCAATATTGATATCTTCAAATTCTAATCTCAAAACACATTCCATGAGCATTTGTTTACAATCAAGTATTGTACAAAAGAAACTGCATTCATGGAGTAGTTATGACATACTTTAAGAGATGTGTTGTCATTCTTCATGAAACAATGCAGATTTACATTTAAATTTAATTTATATAATATTAATATATACTTTAAATAAAATATATACTTTTTGATCATGCAGGGAATATAAAGAACCGTGATGGGTTCTCTTCCTTGAATACTTCTGAGGATTCCAATGTGATTGCCAGACTGACATTCTCATCACAGGTGAAAATCATACTGCAACCTGATTGTCAAGTGTACCATTTTGACATCAGATGATAGAAAGGTCAAATTCTCTAGAAGGTCAAAGTTATTTAATTTCAGTGCTTTCCCACCATTGAGACTGCAGTTTTTGAGGAACAACGGTTCCATAGGATAACAGACAATGTATTACACTGATCATATTCCCCTTGAAATTGTCTTTGGAGCAGTGTTGATGCACCGGTAGTTGTTGCCCGTTTCTAAACAGATGACTGATTCATCTAACTTGAGCATGGACGGTTGAGGAAAGAGTGTGGGCTAAATCCCGCCCGGGATCACATTCACATGCCAGGAATGTATGCACTCCCTGTACCCCTGGTGGCATATTTTAGAGGTGTGCCACAGTGTCAGTCAGCCATTGATGGTAGAGGAGAGTGGTAGTCTAGTGGTATACATCATCTTCCCTCTATGGTTTCCTGTTGAAGTATGCTGATGCTCTGTTTTAACCTCTTAGTAAACATTTGGCTAGCTCTTCCACAGTAGGTGTGTTTGGTTTCCTGAAGATTTACCTCCAGTGGGAGGAGTAGGGACTGGACTAGGTTGTCCCCAAGTGTGTACTGTGGAGAAAAAAGACATGGATATCAATTACAGTTTGGTCTAGTAGTGTACTGGTAGCACTGCTGCAATCAACTCTGGACGACCACAAATTGACCCAAAAGATCAGGGTTCGACCCTTGCTTCTGTTACTCTCATCACAGTATCTCCACCTCATGTCTCCCTCCACTCTTAGGACACTGGGATTAATAAACGATGCAGCATTATGGGAAAACTATGGACAAAGCTCTCAAGAGATGGCGGTTGTTTGGTTTTGTAATGTAAATGCCACAACCCAACACAAATGTCCAAGACTCTCAGTCACTGCAGACCCAATCTCTTCTGTCTTCTGTCATATCCATGAATAAAGAATCAGTCTTTTTGACATTCTATGGGTGAGCCCCACTTTTACAGCCCTCACAGTAAAGAGGAAATTACCTTTTTACGAGGCCTCATTGGAACCCAGTTTGGCTAAGCATTAGGTCACTCAAAGGAAGCACACACACTTGCTTTATCATCCATCATACACAACAGCAGGCCATAAAGCAGCATTAACAGACTCCTATCGATTTTTATGTGGATGCTGTTGGGTGGTGATGGTGGTCTTCTTGGTGTGTCTGTGTGTGTGTGTGTGTTTTGTGTTCATTGTCCACAACATCCCATCATTGTGTCTCAACATAGCATCATCAGCACTAACCTTTTTACAACGCTTCTGTGGGTTTGGCTCATATCAGTAATGGTGAGCCCGGTATATTGCCAAGCAGCCTCAGTGCAAGCTGGGATAAGTCGTCTAGGGAGAGGCACTGACTGAGTTCTTTGTGTGCTGAGAATGAGAGTGTTTTCCAGAAATGCCTGCTACAGTATGGGCTTCAGGCCTGCTGTCCTCAAAGGACTGGGAGGGGAGGGAATGGGGGAGCAGGGAGAGGAAACTGAGAGGAGTAAAGGAACAGAATGAAAGAGAGAGTGGCAGCAAAGGAAGAACTGGTAAGAGCTTCTTCCAAATGCTCGACAGACGGAACACAAGCTGTTGAAAGGCTGGCTAAATACTTTATTTTAGCCATCAAAAACACAGCTTCACTATAAGAAAACGTTGAAACAATTCTCTCAACCTAAAGAGCACTATTGGCTGAAGTTTCAGCACGTTTCACCATCAAACCATTTCCTTCTCAGTTGTTTATGAGTGGACTCTGGGTTAGAATGCACCTGGGAATCCCTGCTGTAGGAGTTTGTACTGTGCGTGTGTGTGTGTGTGTACTGTATGTGTGTGTATGCTCTTTTGTGTGTGTATGTGTTCATGTATGTGCATGCTCCCTCTCTGAGAGACGGATGGTGGCATTGGGCCGAGTGCTGGGTCCGTAATGAAGCCTGCTCGTTTAGTTAATGGCTGAGAATATTGGCCACACAGATAGTGGTCTGGGGCCACGGAGGTAATGGATGGACATCAGCTAATGAAGCTCCCCTCCCTACGTTTCTCTCTCTCGCTCACTCCCTTGCTGCCCATCCTCTCTCTCTCCATCCCTCCCTCGTTCCTTGCCTCGTTGCCCCCCCCCTCCGCCTGCCTGTTGAAATCAACAAGAGCAGATCGAAGGCTGCAGCTGTGAGTAGGGGGGGGGGGGTTCTCTCTCTGTTGACGGATGGGAGCAAGATGAGGAGGAGTAGGACAAGGAGGAGGAGAACAGTACAGCATCTAAAGCAGGGATCATCAACAAGATTCTGCCGCAGGACGATTTTTTCTTGAGCGGATGGTCATGGGGCCGGAACATAATTACAAACAATTTGTAGATTGCAAATCGACCGCAAGAAGCCCAAACATATATAATATTTGACTACAACATAATAATTTCTAACCTTGCTTACATTTGTATACGATCATATACACTGAGTGTACAAATCATTAGGAACACCTGCTTTTTCCTAGACAGACTGACCAGCTGAATCCAGGTGAAAGCTAATCCCTTTTTGATGTCACTTGTTGAATCCACTTCAAATCAGTGTAGATGAAGGGGAGGAGACCAGCTAAAGAAGGATTTTTAAGCCTTGAGACAGTTGAGACATGGATTGTGTATGTGTGCCATTCAGAGGATGAATGGGCAAGACAAAATACTTAAGTGCCTTTGAACGGGGTATGGTAGTAGGTGCCAGGTGCACCGGTTTGAGTGTGTCAAGAACTGCAACGCTGCTGGGTTTTTCAAGCTCAACAGTTTCCCGTGTGTATCAAGAATGGTCCACCACCCAAAGGACATCCAGCCAACTTGACAACTGTGGGAAGCGTTGGAGTCAACATGGGCCAGCATCCCTGTGGAATGCTTTCGACACCTTGTAGTCCATGCCCCGACGAATTGAGTCTGTTCTGGGGGGAAAAGAGGGTGCAAATCAATATTAGGAAGGTGTTCCTAATGTTTTGTACACTCAGTGTATATCTCTTTATTATCCTTGGGAATACTTTGGAACAGATTTCCAAAATTATAATAAACTTGGAGATGATTTGCTGGTGTTGTTACAGTATTTTATGTCACTTTTGTTTTTGCTCAGAAAACTTTGGGGCTAAATAAAATCACCCATGGGCCGCCAGTTAGGGAACCCTGTTCTAAAGATTACAGTACTAGGAGTGATCGGTGGGTGGACGCAGGTCTGGGCAGTAGGTAAGTAGCTGAGGCAGAATTACAGAGAAGTTAAAGGGACTATCAATTTAGCATTTTCATCTGGATGGATGGAAGTCCCCCTAATAGAAAAGCAATGGCCCTGAGTGCCCTGATGATGTAATTGAGCAAATGTTAGAGGATAGGTTGTTTTATTAAAGGTCCAATGCAGCAGTATTTATCTCAATATCAAATCATTTTTGGGTAACAATTAAAGTACCTTGCTGTGATTGTTTTCATTAAAATTGTAAAATAAATTAACAAAAATAGCTTCTTAGAAGTGATTTCTCAAGCAAGAATTTTGCTAGGACTGTCTGGGAGTGGTCTGAGTGGGGAGGGAAAAACTGAAAACTGGCTGTTATTGGCAGAGAGGTTTGGAACTATTTCTTATTGGTCTATTGACTACAGCCTGGGATGTCACCAGGCAGGCCAAATCTCTATCGCACCAAAACAAGATGAAATTTCAGCCGGTCTTTTCAAACAGCTCTTACACGAAAAGGGCATTATTAATTTTCACAATTTAACAGTATTATTCAAACCTCTAAAGCTTGTTGTTTTAAAGGCCCAGTTCAGTCAAACATGATTTTCCTGTGTATTATATCCATTTCCACACTTTGAGGACAGAATGACAGGAGAGGAAATGTTAACTCCAACACTAAGAGTATTTAGTGACGAACAGTCTGACTGATTCCAGATGATTTACAAAACCAAAGTGCGTTTTGTAACTGGGTAGAACACCTTTTCTAACCACAACCAATTTAAATATAATCAAAAATTAAGCTAGTTATAGTTGTTTATTATTATTATTTGAGGAAGTCATTACCTTCTGGATGGCTTCATAGACGGCCCGGAACGCTGGCTGCTTGTCGTCATGGTAAACGCCTCGGTTTCCGTGGAGAATGAAGACGCCCTCTCGTTCGGCTTTGAGACAGTTGCTGCCGTAGATACAGTGGTCTGGACGGTAGTTCCAATGGCACGGGAACACATACAGGCTCTCTGCACAAGGAAATAAAGGAGGGAGACAGTTAGCTGAGGGTGTCTGTTACGCCATTGTGCGAGTTGCACACTTACAGAAAACGCTTATTCCTCTAGACAAAGAAGCTAAAGAGATAGTTTCAACAATAAAGCAATGTGTCTGTCTGGGTCATGTTCACTTGAATAAAACAAAATAAAAAGAACAGAAACATGGAAGTACTATCTGAAACCTGTCCAATAAGAAAAGCACATTTTTGTTTCGGTTGCACAACGTTTTTTTGAAGCGGTGGGACCTAATGAAGCTGAGTTTCACCTGGGTTATGATGGAATATGATGTTGAGCAGGTCCTGGTCTCCCCAGGTGATGTTGAGTTTATATTTCTGGAGAAGTGGCATCAGCAGCTCCTCCCATTGGAGGGGGACTGACGTCATGTCATTCTGTTACGACAAGTCATAGTAGAGAGAGAAACCAAATGTTAAATGACACTGTGCACCACATTCGTTCTTACACAATAAAGATGGAAAACTAAAAACAGTCAAACTCCTGACTGACACCAAACAATTAACTCATTGTTTCATACTTTGTGTCTGAGGCATGTTGATATATTTTAACACAGTACACCAGCGTCTCCCAAACTTGGTCCTCAGGACCCCAAGTGGTGCACATTTTGGTTTTTGCCCTAACCCTACACAGTTGATTCAAAGCTTGATGATTAGTTGATTGGGGTCCCGAAGACTGAGTTTGGGAAACCGTGCAGTACAGTTTGTGAGCCACTGTTGATGAGCGTTTGCAAAATAATGGCAACAGTGACCTCCTCTGGTCAATACTGGTGGTGCAGTAGGCTTACAGAAAATGCCATTGCCAATGTTACAAATTGAAGAACACAACTATGATCATTTACAAATTACCTTGAACAGTTTGGCCTTTCCAGACTCAAAATGCTTTAACAGAACATACAAAAAAATAAGCGGAGAAAGTTCAAGAGATCCTGACACCTCTTCTCAAGCACTGACACACACCAACACACAAAGACGCACATTCCCACTGACACAATTACCTTGAAGTATTTCTCTCTTATCCGGGTCATGTTCATGAGCATGACCCCAGAGTTGACCCCGGTCTTTCCGTAGTAAGGGTGCCGTGCGAAGCGGTTGTACCAGGCGATGCGTGGCTCCTCATGCTCCGGGGCCATGGCTGCCAGATGGGTGGAGTTGAAGAGGGACAGCAGGGACCAGATCTCCTCTACAGGCTGAAGGAACAAGATATCGGTGTCCACGTACAACAGAGAGTCTACGTCTTTTAGGATCAACTGGAGAGGAGAGACAAAAGGTTAGAATGCCCAAGAACATAGTCAAACATTACACACATTACTCTGACAGCATGCCATGGGCCAGATTCCCAGACCCAGATTTCAATGGAGAATCGTGATTGAAAGTCATTTAGGTCCAGGAATGGGCTTAATCTGGGTCCAATATCTCATAAACAAACTTGTATTGTTCTCAGCAAGGGGGACACTGAACCGTTTTTTCATTATGGCCAGTCTCATCAAACCATAAGGACTCACCGGTAGGAAGAGCCTTTGAGAAGCACAGGGTTTGAAGAGTTTCTTCCACTCCTTGGCGTTCTCACGGAGGAAGGTGATGGGGTACGTGGTGTAGTTAAACCTGGTCTGGAAGACACTGGGCCACAAGTCCAGCTGAGGGAAAATACACAGGGACAGACACAAGTGAACAGGTTTGCATTAACAGACAACCACACACCTGCACAGGTATAGATATCTAGTTCAAAGTCTGACTTGGATCAGCAGCTTCTTTCTTCTTCCATCCCCTTAACTGCTAGGCCACATCACTAGTACCTAAATTCATCCTGCCACTAATTCCTGTTCTCCATACTTACAGACTCTCTAAAGCTGCCATGCAGATGATCATCTGCGAAAATGTGAAAGTGTAGTGGTTTGGTGCTGAAGAGGAGAGCAGACTTTAACATGGTGAGAGTCTCCTCTAGTCTGGGACCACAGGCAACCACAGCCAGATGGATCCGCTCATCTCTAGTGGCCTCATGGACGCTGGCGGAGGCTGGCTTCTCCCTGAGATAGTAAGAGATAAAAAAAGGGAGGAGGGCAGCATCTTAGGGCACTTTGGAAGAAGGGCACCACTTGCACAGTCTCCGTCATGGATTTAAAAGCATTTGATTGGGGTAAGTATTGGCTGGAGGGAGTTCCCAACATTATTAAATCTACAACGGAGAAGGATGGAGGGTCGGGACAACCAACCTTTGGGTGAGAGGACCGGGTAGAGATTAGTATGAAGAGAGGGTGGCAATGATGAGCAACATTTAAGCAGGGGCAGGGTCAGACGTCTGGCACGCAGTCCTTTAGTGTGTGTGTACAGCCTAGTCTGTGTTATTGTTGATAAGAGAACACACACACACACACTCTGAGGAAAGAATAGAAGCTGGATCCACAAACTAAGAGCTAGAAAGGCTAAAGAAATGTGCTAGGTGGTCCTCCTATAGCCTGGTCCCAGATCTGTAGTGCCGCTCTTATTGAATCCTCCCCCCGGACTACAGCTTTTCATACTCTATCAGAAAAGGGAAAAAGGGTGGGGGGACAGTCTATTTTTACCAATGCTCTCAGCTGTAAAGGACATTTCGTTTGGCGACTTTGGGTCTTTTGAGCATTATGCTATACTGTTTAAATGTCAGCCACCAGTGCTGGCCAATACCCTGTAAAGGCCACCAAAGCACTGCCCCACTTTCTTTACTTATCTATCTGAACCATTGTCTATTGTCCTTGAGAACTATGATAAAATCATTGTCTTGGGCAATTTTAATATTCATGTTGAGAAAGAGACTGACTCCAACGCCATTGAATTTATTAATCTTTTGAGCTCCGTGGACTTTATCCAACATGTTACTGGGCCCACCCATAACCGCGGCCATACTCTGGACCTGGTTATTACCAAGGGACTTTCTATTGACATATCCTCTATTGTTGATGTTGCATTATCTGATCACCACTGTGTATTTTGTACTACCTTCTTGCCCATAGCACAGGGTAATACTGAACACATTAAGAAATGCTATCTTACCTCTGAAGATGCTACAGATTTTATTTAGTATATGAACAATACTCTACCACCTATTCCGCCTTCCTCTTCTGATGATTTAGTTGATAACTTTAATAGCAAATCAAAGTTACAGATCCATTATGATATTCCGAGAGAGCAATCTTGGCATATATAACAAGGCAATTAAAAATACCAGACAAGCTCATTTTTCTAACTTGATCACTATTTAAATCAGAATACTTTGAGTGCCCCTTCTTGACCATTGACGGCCTGATAAATCCTACCCCTGCAAACCTATGTGAACTTTTCCTCATCTAAATGTGATGAATTTGCAGCATATTTCAGAAATAAGATAACCAACACTAGGCTGGTTATCAGTCAAGCAAGAACTGTTGAGAAGTTTGATGATATGTACCCATGCCTACCACGCAAAGGCACTATGGATTGATTTTCCCTTGGTTGACACAGACATGCTCACCACCTTCAAAACAGGTTTTAATTGCATATCTGAAGAAGTGCAAGCTATTGTTAAATCACTCCCTGTTCACAAGCACTTTCCTCACTGCACTAAAAACTTCTATGGTGAAACTCCTTCTGAAGCAAAGTAATCTAGAAACCAATCTCCAACCTTCCATTCTTAAGCCAAATTCTGGAGTAATTGGTGTTCAAACAACAAAATAATTGTTTAAGTGCCAACTGTATTTTTAAAATTCCAATCAGGTTTTCGGGCCCACCACAGCACAGAGACAGCATTAATTAAAGTGGTAAATGATTTTAGAGCCAACACAGATGCCAAACAGCTCTCTGTCCTTGTACTCTTAGATTTAAGTGTTGCATTCGACAATGTTGACCAGGATGTCCTTCTGGACAGACTGGAGAGGTGGGTTGGCCTCTCTGGTCCAGTTCTAAATTGGTTTAGGACCTATTTAACCAGTCGAGAGTTTGTCACCCTTGGTGAACATAACTCAGAGAAATTACATATCACGTGGTGTTCCACAAGGTTCGATTTTGGGTCCGGTACGGTTAAGTTTATATATATATAGTGTTATGAAAAAGTATTTGTCCCCTTTCTAATTTTCTCTACTTTTGCATATTTGTGATACTGAATTATCAGATCTTCAACCAAAACCTAATATTATATAAAGGGAACATAAGTGAACAAATAACACAACAATTGCATATTTATTTCATAAACAAAGTTATGCAACACCCAATTCCCCTGTGTGAAAAAGTAATTGCCCCCTTACACTCAATAACTGGTTGTGCCACCTTTAGCTGCAATGACTCCAACCAAATGCTTCCTGTAGTTGTTGATCAGTCTCTCACGTCGCTGTGGAGGAATTTTGGCCCACTCTTCCATGCAGAACTGCTTTAACTCAGTGACGTGTGGGTTTTCAAGCATGAACTGCTCGTTTCAAGTCCTGCCACAACATAACTCCTGAGTGGCGCAGTGGTCTAAGGCACTGCATCGCAGTGCTAACTGTGCCACTAGAGATCCTGGTTCGAATCCAGGCTCTGTCGCAGCCGGCCGCGACCGGGAGACTCATGGGCGGCGCACAATTGGCCCAGGGTAGGGGAGGGAATGGCCGGCAGGGATGTAGCTCAGTTGATAGAGCATGGCGTTTGCAACGCCAGGGTTGTGGGTTCGATTCCCACGGGGGGCCAGTATAAAAAAATATGTATTCACTAACTGTAAGTCGCTCTGGATAAGAGCGTCTGCTAAATGACTAAAATGTAAAATATCTCAATTGGGATTAGGTCTGGACTTTGACTAGGCCATTCCAAAACTTCCAGCAATTTTCATGTAGACTTGATTGTGTGTTTTGGATCATTGTCTTGCTGCATGACCCAGCTGCACTTCAGCTTCAGCTCACAGACGGATGGTCTGACATTCTCCTGTAGAATTCTCTGATACAGAGCAGAATTCATGGTTCCTTCTATTAAGGCAAGTCGTCCAGGTCCTGAGGCAGCAAAGCATCCCCAAACCATCACACCACCACCACCATGCTTGACCTTTGGTATGATGTTCTTGTAAGACAGGCCTTAGTAGTTCTGTATGATGGCCACATTAGCATTTCAATTTTGGGGGGTAAATACAGGTGAATATATTTCTAAAAAAAGTAACCTTGTCCGAGAGAGATTTACACGGTTATCAAAACACCACGCCAGGGTAAGACGAAACACAGCCCTTATTTGAAGTGTTTCTAAAATCCACAATGGATCAAATGAATGGAGGAAAAATTATTGGAGCCATTTCCGTGTTTGACCGCTAGGTTTTATGGGTATTATGACTCCTACTGTGGTAGACTACACTACACTACAGGGCCGGGTTTCCCTATAGCAATGGAATTTAGGCTTACAAATGTTTTAATGATGCATCGTAAAAATAACAGCCGAAAATGACACACCCATTTCCCAAAACACCATGCAGTGCACTCGTTACAAAGTGCAACTTAACTGTGTCATTACAGGAGCTGTCCCAAGCTGAAAATGACTCCAGAATGTATGCTAAATAGCTTTCTGTAGTCCTTAAATTATTTATGGCTATTCAAAAATATATATATATACAATACAGTTTTACCATCAAGAGAATAAATGTTCAGTAGCCTATTATGTGTTTATGTTTTTGTATTATTATGTTTGACATGTGTTATGTATTCTGTTTTCTCGTGCTATTTTGTATGCAATGTTTGATTTAATAAATTCTGTATTTCTTCAGGTGTGTGCAAACTGTTAGCAAGAATGAATAAAGCCAAAGTAGCTCATTCCTTCGTTGCTATAGAAAATATCAATGTGACCTAAAAATTGAATAATATGACAATGGTTTTCGCAAATTGCTGAACAAATCTTTGTGGTCTTAACGGCAGGCAGGAATTGGGCTTCAAGTAGGCCTACAGATATTCTACAATTAAATAATTAAACATGAAGTACCAAGTTAAGTGACGTTGCCATAGACTTAATATGGTAACCTTTAGGTTATTGGTTATGCTACAGTGAAATGTGTGAGCTTTTAGATAATAGTAGCCTATAGGCCTAATAGATACGAACATTGAAGCAGCTCAGATGTAGTCTAATGGCTTAATACTAGGTAGGTCTATCAATTGCACATACAGTACCGTTCAAAAGTTTGGGGTCACTTAGAAATGTCCTTGTTTTCGAAAGAAAAGCAATTTGATTGTCCATTAAATGAACATCAAATTGATCAGAAATGAAGTGTAGACATTGTTCATGTTGTAAATGGCTATTGTAGCTGGAAACGGCTGATTTTTTATGGAATATCTACATAGGCGTACAGAGGCCCATTATCAGCAACCATCAGTCCTGTGTTCCAATGGCACGTTGTGTTTGCTAATCCAAGTTTATAATTTTAAAAGGCTAATTGATCATTAGAAAACCATTTTGCAGTTATGTTAGCACATCTGAAAATGGTTGTGCTGATTAAAGAAGCAATAAAACTGGCCTTCTTGAGACTAGTTGAGAATCTGGAGCATCAGCAATTGTGGGTTTGATTACAGGCTCAAAATGGCCAGAAACAAATGACTTTCTTCTGAAACTCGTCAGTGTATTCTTGTTCTGAGAAATGAAGGCCATTCCATGCGAGAAATTGCCAAGAAACTGAAGATCTCGTACAACGCTGTGTACTACTCCCTTCACAGAACAGCACAAACAGGCTCTAACCAGAATAGAAAGAGGAGTGGGAGGCCCCGGTGCACAACTGAGCAAGAGGACAAATACATTAGTGTCTAGTTTGAGAAACAGGCGCCTCACAGGTCCTCAACTGGCAGCTTCATTAAATAGTACCCGCAAAACACCAGTCTCAACGTCAACAGTGAAGAGGCAATTCCGGGATGCTGACCTTCTAGGCAGAGTTGCAAAGAAAAAGCCATATCTCAGACCGGCCAATAAAAATAAAAGATTAAGATGGAAAAACTTACAACATTTCTCTCCACCCTTTGGCAAAATGTGTAGAATTGCAAGAAATTAGCTCTAAAATAGCTAATTTTCCTCTCCGCCCCATGGCAAAATGAGTAGAATTGCATGAAATGAGTAATAAAATTGCAATCTTCTCTCCACCCCATGGCAAAATGTGTAGAATGCAACAAACTTGCTTTAAAAACAGCAACATTTTCTCTAAACCCAATGGCAAATTGCACAAAATGAACTCTAAAACCTTAAAATTGTCTCTCTGTTGTCAAGAGCGGGGCCACTAAAATGTTTTTTTGGGGGGGTATGGATGTGAGTACGCAGATCCCGTGAGCGACTGCAGCCCCTCATGAGTTTAGATTTTTTTGTGACCCCCACCAAAGTTGCCCATCCCTGCTCTACAAGTAGGGTGAGTCAACATGTTTTTCTACTTGCACAAACGCACACAGAAATCAGAACCATAGACAGCCAAATCATATTTAGCTTACGTTGATTGGACTACATTATTTTTGGTATCTTTTAGTTGTCACTGTATAAGACTAAACATAGGTGATTTGATTATGTTTAAATAGTGCTGGAATAGTTGAGGCAGCTCCTGTTTTCTTTGTGACTTGCGGTAACTCTCTGTGGTTCTAAATCAATAGTTGTTTAGTAGTCCAAAAATGTTGCTAACATTAACTAACAGGTTATAGAGCAAACAATGCAACTAGGTTGTAACATGGCTTCTTTGTTTTTTTTGGCTTAGCTTCCCCAGTGATTTCACCCACGCACTGCTACCGCCAGGTGGAAAAATAAGTAAAGTGGCCACTGCCTGCCTTTCAAGGGGTTGCCCCAACCAAGCATTCATAGGAGACGGTCCCAATAATCAGTTCATTCCACAAACATCAGGAGGCAGTCTCTAATAGGGATTCCAGTAAAACACTGCCAATTCAGTACACAAGACAGAACAACAAGATTTGAATGCCTTTTGGATCCTTGGTGATTGAATCTGATAGGGGTAGACTAGAGAGCTCCTTGGTTATCTAGCAAATGCGAATAGTTGTAGAAATAGATAGCTAACTTAGGTAAGTACCCATCTAATTGCACTAGGCAGGACATCTGATAGGTAACGTTAGCAAACGGGGAGAAAAAACCCTGAAATTGCAATGTGGATAATGGTGAATTAGCTAGTTACTTGGCTGACTTTTGTAGCCAACTAACTAGCTAATCAACTGTTATTTTACCTGGTCCTGTCATGTTCTTGCTGGTCAAAAAGGCCTGGCACTCCTCCACATTTCCTGACTACGTGCCCAGTGTCTTGGGCCCCAAATTGGGGTTGCCTGCCACTGGATTTTTTAGTTCTTCTGTCGGTCCATCCGTCTTCGTCTTGCGACTCAAAAGACGAGGTTACCGGTAGTTGATTAAAAACATACAGCACCGAAAAGATAGCAAAGACCATGCACAGCATAAGTGCATGAAGATAACATCGCATTTTGTTAATAGAAAATGCACTTACCCGTACTACCATAACATTCTTTCAGATATGGATTTACATTGGCTAACTAGCGTTAAGTGTTTACGTCAACTTTGAGCCCCACCTTCTGTCAAGAAACCAAAGCACAGGGGTGTATTCATTACGTATTGCAAAGGAAATTTGTTGAAACGGGTGGATTTACCTGCATTTGTCCAATAGAAACTGTCGTTTTCGTTGACGTTTTCCGTTTGGAGTAAACAGTTTCTATTGCAAAACGTTTTGCAACAGAATCAGCGTAATGAATACACCCCTAATGACAGTTCCAGAGATTATTTTATACACTACATGGTCAAAGGTATATGGACACCTGCTCATCGAACATCTCATTCCAAAATCATGGGCATTAATATGGAGTTTGTCCCCCTTTGCTCCTATATCTGCCTCCACTCTTCTGGGAAGGCTTTCCACTAGATGTTTGAACATTTCTGCAGGGACTTGCTTCCATTTAGCCACAACAGCATTAGTGAGGTCGGGCACTGACGTTGGGCGATTAAGCCTGACTCGCAGTCGGCGTTCCAATTCATCCCAAAGATGTTCGATGGTGTTGAGGTCAGGGCTCTGTACAGGCCAGTCAAGTTCTTCCACACCGATCTCGACAAACCATTTCTGTATGGACCTCGCTTTGTGCATGGGGGCATTGTCATGCTGAAACAGGAAAGGGCCTTCCCCAAACAGTTGCCACAAAGTTGGAAGCACAGAATCGTCTTGAATGTCATATGTTGTAGCATTAAGATTGCCCTTCACTGGAACTAAGGGGCATAGCCCGAACCATGAAAATCAGCCCCAGACCATAATTCCTCCTCCACCAAACTTTACAGTTGGCACTATGCATTGGGGGCAAGTTGCATTCTCCTGGCATCTGCCAAACCGAAATTTGTCTGTCGGACTGCCAGATGGTGAAGCATGATTCATCACTCCAGAGAACGCGTTTCTACTGCTCCAGAGTCCCATGGCGGCGAGCTTTACACCACTCCACCAGACGCTTGGTATTGAGCATGGTGATTTTAGGCTTGTGTGTGTCTGCTCGGACATGGAAACCCATTTCATGAAGCACTCGGCGGTCCCGTTCTGTGAGCTTGTGTGGCCTACCACTTCGTGGTGAGCCGTTGTTGCTCCTAGACGTTTCCACTTCACAATAACAGCACTTACAGTTCACCGGGGCAGCTCTAGCAGGGCAGAAATTTGACGAACTGACTTATTGGAAAGGTGGCATCCTATGACGGCGCCACGTTGAAAGTCACTGAGCTCTTCAATACGGGCCATTCTACTGCCAATGTTTGTCTATGGAGATTATATGGCGGTGTGCTCAATTTTATACACCTGTCAGCAACGGGTATGACTGAAACAACCGAACCCACTAATTTGAAGGGATGTCCACATACTTTTGGCCATGTAGTGTACAGTCGTGGTCAAAAGTTTTGAGAATGACACAAATACTAATTTTCACAAAGTCTGCTGCCTCAGTTTTGATGATGTCAATTTGCATATACTCCAGAATGTCATGAAGAGTGATCAGATTAATTACAATTAATTGCAAAGTCCCTCTTTGCCATGAAAATTAACTTAATCCCCCAAAAACATTTCCACTGCATTTCAGCCCTGCCACAAAAGGACCAGCTGCCAGTGTAGATCAGTTGGTAGAGCATGGCGCTTGCAACACCAGGGTTGTGGGTTCGATTCCCACGGGGGGCCAGTATGAAAATGTATGCACTCACTTAACTGTAAGTCGCTCTGGATAAGAGCGTCTGCTAAATGACTAAACATGTAAATGTAAATGATTCTCTCGTTAACACAGGTGAGAGTGTTGACGAGGACAAGGCTGGAGATCACTCTGTCATGCTGATTGAGTTAGAATAACAGACTGGATGCTTTAAAAGGAGGGTGGTGCTTGAAATCATTGTTGTTCCTCTGTTAACCATGGTTACCTGCAAGGAAACACATCCCGTCATCATTGCTTTGCACAAAAAGGGCTTCACAGGCAAGGATATTGCTGCTAGTAAGATTGCACTTAAATCAACCATTTATCGGATCATCAAGAACTTCAAGGAGAGAGGTTCAACTGTTGTGAAGAAGGCGCCAGGGCGCCCAAGAAAGTCCAGCAAGCGCCAGGACCGTCTCCTAAAGTTGATTCAGCTGCGGGATCGGGGCACCACCAGTGCAGAGCTTGCTCAGGAATGGCAGCAGGCAGGTGTGAGTGCATCTGCACACACAGTGAGGCGAAGACTTTTGGAGGATGGCCTGGTGTCAAGAAGGGCAGCGAGGAAGCCACTTCTCTCCAAGAAAAATATCAGGGACAGACTGATATTCTGCAAAAGGTTCAGGGATTGGACTGCTGAGGACTGGGGTAAAGTCATTTTCTCTGATGAATCCCCTTTCCGATTGTTTGGGGCATCCGGAAAACACCTTCTCCGGAGAAGACAAGGTGAGCGCTACCATCAGTCCTGTGTCATGCCAACAGTAAAGCATCCTGAGACCATTCATGTGTGGGGTTGCTTCTCAGCCAAGGGAGTGGGCTCACTCACAATTTTGCCTAAGAACACAGCCATGAATAAAGAACGGTACCAACACACACACTCGAGAGCAACCTCTCCCAAACATCCAAGAACAGTTTGGTGGCGACCAATGCCTTTTCCAGCATAATGGAGCACCTTGCCATAAGGCAAAAGTGATAACTAAGTGGCTCGGGGAACAAAACATTGACATTTTGGGTCCATGGCCAGGAAACTCCCCAGACCTTAATCCCATTGAGAACTTGTGGTCGATCCTGAAGAGGCGGGTGGACAAACAAAAACCAGCAAATTCTGACAAACTCCAAGCATTGATTATGCAAGAATGGGCTGCCATCAGTCAGGATGTGGCCCAGAAGTTAATTGACAGCATGCCAGGGCGGATTGCAGAGGTCTTGAAAAAGAAGGGTCAACACTGCAAATATTGACTCTATCCATAAACTTAATGTAATTGTCAATAAAAGCCTTTGACACTTATGGAATGCTTGTAATTATACTTCAGTATACCATAGTAAAATCTGACAAAAATATCTCAAGCAGCAAACTTTGTGAAGACCAATACTTGTGTCATTCTCAAAACTTTTGACCACGACTGTATGTGTATCTGGAACGCACCCACTGGCTTGCAGGACAAGTTTAACTATGATAAAATAGCTTGAAACTAGCTACCTAAACACCTTAGTAATTAGCTATGACGGAAAGAGATTAGGAAAGATTAGCCTTACAAACATCTGCAATACAATACCACCTCATGTATACCAGTGTACACGTTTCTGACATACATGAACTAAAATAAAGACATATTTCTAACAGAATTCCAAAGCATGTCAAGTTATCCAGACTCTAGCAGATACACTAATTGTAGATAGCCCTAATTTTTATAACCTATCCATGAATATCCCAAATGCAGTCTCCTGTGTGAAGAGCTTAGGCTGCGTTTAAACTGGGAGCCCAATTCTGATTTTTTTTCCACTAATTTGTCTTTTTTCCATCAGACCTTTTTCAGAGCTGATCTGATTGGTCAAAAGAGCAATTAGTGAAAAAAAATCAGAAATTGGGCTGCCTGTTTAAACGCAGCCATAGAAGTCTATGGTTAGGCCCCATCTGCCATCCACTAAGCACAAATGGAGGAAACTCAAGTCTGACTGATGAACCTATCAGTTCAGTTTTATTTCATATTTTACAATATAAACCACTGTTGATGACAGCATGCTTGACTCTACAAACTTGTGGAAGAGAAGCATACTTAACAATATTCTCAATTTTGACTCAAACAAACAGTAACACAATAACTGAGATTCTCATTGACATACATATGACAACAAGGCTGGCTATAACATAAAACAGTGATATGATTCAGTAACATGTGCAGTAAAATGTTAGCCAAACTGAAAATAATGCTTTGTTAAACAATGGGCCTGTTTCCAGACACAGATTAAACCTAGTCTTGGACTAAGAAGAATGTTCAACGGAGATTTTCCATTCAGTGATTTTTAGTCCAGGACTACTCTGTATCTGGGAAACTGGTCCAATATCTACTCATGAATTAATGCACACCATATGCCAGCAGGTGCAATCTGCTGCTAACAAAATTAATCTTTGTCAATCTACAATCAAGAGATGGACCACTTGCTTCACATTTATTCTCTCATAATTAGGGTTGTTGCAAAATTCTGCTAACTTCCCCAAAATTCCCAGGTTTTCCGGGAATCTCAGTTGGCGGAATCCTGAATTTCCTACTTATCCTCTCCTGAATCCGGGAATCTTCCAGGGGATTTCTGGAAAACCTGTGGATTTTGGGTAAATTACCAGAATTTTGAAACCCTACTCATAATGCATATTCGTATTCCTCTGTAGCTAAAGCACTCTTTTAATCTGCAATAGTCCACATTGGTAAGAGACAGAAACCAACCAACCACTAAGTGTGTGATGAGTGATGACACTATAACACTGAGGTGTTGTAAGGAAATACAATCACATCACATGGCATCACTCCGCTAGCTATGCATGCAGGGTTCATTCAACAGTCAAGACCCAGCTTCAGTTCAGTTCACTCAGGCCATGGTTGTTTTCATTAGGGCACACCATAACAAAATGTTTTAAAACGTTGTGCGACAGCAAACAAATATCAGTGTTTCTTATTTATTGGAGTCCAGGTATAACCTCCCAGTTTCAGTCAATTTTCTTCTGTTTGCTGCCTACTGAACACGACCTAGATATTGTCTGAAACCAATACATTGATGATACACAGCCTCCTCCCAGCACCAGCCTCATAATGCTTATCATCATGGGACTGCAGTGTAGTATCCAACCTAATTTCGAACTGGTAGTGATGGTATTATTGGCAAAAGTGTTTTTTTTAACAATGTGTGCATGTTGAAATGTTGGGTTGGAGTGAGGGGTGACGGATATGGGGGGGGGGACATAGGGGTGTAGCGTTAGGCGTAATCTTGCATGCCAGATTTGTATGCAATATTCAGAGACACACTTGTCTGGTTCCACAAGATTATGTTAGGTGAGGAGGGAGGAAATGGGGGAGGGAGGGAGACTAGTGACTCTCGCCGTTAACCGAGGACACCTCCCCCCGCGGCGAGGATGACCGGGACACCCCCCTTTCTGTGTTGTCAGAACTGCTGTTGCCGCTCGGACTGTGCTGGTCTGCCGAGGCGACACTGGAAGGAGTGGAGGCGGGCTTGGTTTTCTCCTTAAAGTCTGTGATTATGACCGTCAGGTCACCCACCGTTACCTCGAGGTGCTGGGCACTGCTCCGGTCCACGTTTTTTAACCTGGGCCTGGGACAGAGAGAAGTATGGTATCATAAGTGTTCACCCCCCTTGGATTTCTTCACATTTTCCTGTCTTACAAAGTGTGATTAAAATGTATTTAAATTGTAATTTTTTGGTCAACGATCCACACAAAATACTCATCAAAATGATTAGAAAAATGAAAATGATTTATGACAAATAAAATACTTATATACACTGAGTGTACAAAACATTAAGGACACCTTCCTAATATTGAGTTGCACCCTCCCCCCCTTTTGCCCCATAGAACAGCCTCAATTCGTCAGGGAATGGAATCTACAAGGTGTCGAAAGCATTCTACAGGGATGCTGGCCCATGTTGACTCCAATGCTTCCCACAGTTCTGTCAAGTTGGCTGGATGTCCTTTGGGTAGCGGACCATTCTTGATACACACGGGAAACTGTTGAGCATGAAAAATCCAGCAGCATTGCAGTTCTTGACACAAACCGGTGCGCCTGGCACCTACTACCATACCCCGTTCAAAGGCACTTAGATCTTTTGTCTTGCCCATTCATCCTCTGACTTTCACACATACACAATCCATGTCTCAACTGTCTCAAGGCTTAAAAATCCTTCTTTAACCGGTCTCCTCCCCTTCATCTACACTGATTGAAGTGGATTTAACAAGTGACATCAAAAAGGGATCAGCGCCTTCACCTGGTCAGTGTCATGGAAAGAGCAGGTGTTCTTAATGTTTTGTATATTCAGTGAACCTTGATAAGATAAGTATTCACCACCCTGTTAGAAACAGCTTTGGCAGCGATTAGAGCGGTACGTTTTCTTGGGTAAGGGCTCACACCGAATGTGAATCTAGCGTTCCCCTGCCGATCGTTCAGCGCCCTGTGTTTTAGGGAACACCCGCTGTAGACGTCTGACTGCCGACATTTTTCACGTGATTCTACATCTAGGCCCGGGACGATACCAGTCTTGCAATATTTTTTACATGCCAAAAATGAATACACAAAGTAGACCAAACTCTTTGGTCCTTTAAAAACCTGCTGTATGTAAAATAGTGTGCCATAGCTTGGAAAATAAATACATGTGACTCTGGATGACCGCAGAGTGAAGGAAAAGCAGCCAACAAGTGCTCAGCATATGTGGGAACTCCTTCAAGACTGTTGGAAAAGCATTCCTCATGAAGCTGGTTGAGAGAATGCCAAGAGTGTGCAAAGCTGTCATCAAGGCAAAGGGTGGCTATTTGAAGAATCTCAAAAGAAACACTTTTTTGGTTACTACATGATTCCATATGTGTTATTTCATAGTTTTGATGTCTTCACTATTATTCTACAATGTAGAAAATAGTAAAAAATAAAGTAAAACCCTGGAATGAGTAGGTGTATCCAAACTTTTGACTGGTACTGTATGTATCAGGGAAAGAGGAAAGGGTAATCATTCAAAAATAATTTATTTCACACAGAGTGGTTCCATGTAACTTATTATGTAATTTGTTAAGCCACATTTTACTCCTGAACTAATTTAGGCTTGCCTAAACAAAGGGGCTGAATACTTACGCAAAGACTATATTTATTTTATTTAAAAGATATTAATTAGTACACATTTTGAGAATGTTCTTTTTACTTCAACATTATGGAGTATCTTGTGTAGATCGATGAAGAAGAAAAAAAACAATTAAATCTATTTCAATCCCACTATAACGCAACAAAATGTGAAAACATCTAAGGGGGGGGTGAATACTTATGATACCCACTGTATATTGTCATTAATAGCACAAGAGGAGAGTCAATAGTATGGCTAGTTAGGGTACTAACAATAGGAGGGGTCACTTGGAACCTGTGAATGACTTTGATAGAATGTAGTAATCATGTAAATCATCGCAATTAAATGAGATTATTAAAATATTCTCCAACATTCATAGTATCTTTGTGAATATGTTGTTCAAACAGTTTCCTCCTTACCTCATCTTCTTGTGGCTGTTCTTTTTCAGTGTTGGTTCCTTTTCACTCTTCTCTTTCTCGGATTTCTCCTTCTTCTCTTTTTTAGGTTGTGTGGGTGAAGCAAACTGCGGAGTGACTTGCTGGGCAACCATTTGGGAGACAGGGCGAGGCTTCCTAAAAACAGAGAAGTGATTATTAATATTGGATATTAAGCCATGAGCAGCAGGTACATACAGTGCCTTCATAAAGTATTCAGACCCGTTTACTTTTTCAAAATGTTGTTAGGTTAAAGCGAAAGTTTTTTTTATCAATCTGCACACAATACCCCATAATGACAAAGCAAAAACAGGATTTTAGAAATTGTTGCTAATTGAAAATAAAAAAATGTAAGCAGGTCAACATTCACATTATTTGATTGCTGCTCTTTAATTATTTGCCATTTTTATTTTTTACTTAACACTTATGTTTAATTTTTCTTAAAACTGCATTGTTGGTTAAGGGCTTGTAAGCATTTCACTGTAAGGTCTACACCTGTTGTATTTGGCGCATATGGCAAATAAAATGTCATTTGATTTGAAATATCACATTTGCATAAGTATTCAGACCCTTTACTCAGTACTTATTTGAAGCACCTTTGGCAGCGATTACAGCCTCGAGTCTTGTTGGGTATGAAGCTACAAGCTTTGCACACCTGTATTTGGGGAGTTTCTCCCATTCTTCTCTGCAGATCCTCTCAAGCTCTGTCAGGTTGGATGGGGAAAGTTGCTGCACAGCTATTTTCAGGTTTCTCCAGAGATGTTCGATCAGGTTCAAGTCCGGGCTCTGGCTGGACCACTCAAGGACATTCAGAGACTTGTCCCGAAGCCACTCCTGCGTTGTCTTGGCTGTGTCTCCCAGTCCCTGCAGGTGAAAAACATCCCCACAGCTTGATGCTGCCACCACCATGCTTCACCGTAGGGATGGTGCCAGATTTCCGCCAGAAGTTATGCTTGGCATTCAGGCCAAAGAGTTCGATCTTGGTTTCATCAGACCAGAAAATCTAATTTCTCATGGTCTGAGAGTCTTTAGGTGCCTTTTAGCAAACTCCAAGTGGGCTGTCATGTGCCTTTTACTGAGGAGTGGCTTCCGTCTGGCCACTCTACCATAAAGGCCTGATTGGTGGAGTGCTGTAGAGATGGTTGTCCTTCTGGAAGGTTCTCCTATCTGCACAGAGGAACTCTAACTCTGTCAGGGTGACCATTGGGTTCTTGGTTACCTCCCTGACCAAGGCCATTCTCCCCCGATTGCTCAGTTTGGCCGGGTAGCCAGCACTAGGAATAGTCTTGGTGGTTCCAAACTTCTTCCATTTAAGAATGATGGCCACTGTGTTCTTGGGGTCCTTCAATGCTGCAGAAATTGTTTGTACCCTTCCCCAGATCTGTGCCTCGACACAATCCTTTCTCTGAGCTCTACGGACTATTCCTTCGACCTCATCGCTTGGTTTTTGCTCTGACATGCACTGTCAACTGTGGGACCTTATATAGACAGTTGTGTGCCTTTCCAAATTTTACATTTTATTCATTTAGCAGACGCTCTTACCCAGAGCGACTTACAGTTAGTGAGTGCATAAATTTTCATACTGGCCCCCCGTGGGAAACAAACCCACAACCCTGGCGTTGCACGTGCCATGCTCTACCAACTGTACTCCTGAGTGGCGCAGTGGTCTAAGGCACTGCATCGCAGTGCTAACTGTGCCACTAGAGATCCTGGTTCGAATCCAGGCTCTGTCGCAGCCGGCCGCGACTGGGAGAGTCATGGGCGACGCACAATTGGCCCAGCGTCGTCCAGGGTAGGGGAGGGAATGGCCGGCAGGGATGTAGCTCAGTTGATAGAGCATGGCGTTTGCAACGCCAGGGTTGTGGGTTCGATTCCCACGGGGGGGGGCAGTATACAAAATTAAAAATACAAATACAAAAAATAATAATGTATTCACTAACTGTAAGTCGCTCTGGATAAGAGCGTCTGCTAAATGACTAAAATGTAAATGTAACTGAGCTACAGGGGACTAATCATGTCCAATCAATTGAATTTACCACAAGTGGACTCCAATCAAGTTGTAGAAACATCTCAATGATGATCAATGGAAACAGGATGTACCTGAGCTCAATTTTGAGTCTCATAGCAAAGGGTCTGAATACTTATGTAAATATAAAAGTTCTGTGCATGGCTCATGACATCTTGAGAAATGTTACTGAGAAATGTCATTTAGAAGGGTTCAAACTTGTTGTTTTATCCCTGTATTGATAAAAACAACATATTTGACACAATCTGCCAGAACATAGAATCTGGCAAATAATGTCCCCAAATTAGAAATGTCTCATTCAAAATAACCACTTGAATTTGGGCTACAATTACAATTATTTATGAGTCCTCGGTTGTAGCGTCAGCTGCACAATACGTTTACATCCAAAAGTCTGTTCTACCTAATTTCTACCAGCATGTTAAATGTGCAACCAGAGGAAAAAAAACTCTAGACCACCTTTACTCCATACAAAGCTCTCCCTCGCCCTCCATTTGGCAAATCTGACCATAACTCTATCCTCCTGATGCCTGCTTATAAGCAAAAACTAAAGCAGGAAGCACCAGTGACTCGGTTAATAAAAAAGTGGTCAGATGACACAGACGCTGAGCTACAGGACTGTTTTGCTAGCACAGACTGAAAATGTTCCGGGATTCTTCAGATAGCATTGAGGAGTACACCACATCAGTCACTGGCTTCATCAATAAGTGCATCGATGACATCGTCCCCACAGTGACCGTACGTACATACCCCAACCAGAAGCCATGGATTACAGGCAACATCCGCACTGAGCTAAAGGGTAGAGCTGCCGCTTTCAAAGAGCGGGACTCTAACCCGGACGCTTATAAGAAATCCCGCTATGCCCTCCGACGAACCATCAAACAGGCAAAGAGTCAGTACAGGACTAAGATTGAATCGTACTACACCAGCTCTGACGCTCGTCAGATGTGTCAGGGCTTGAAAACTATTACAGACTACAAAGGGAAGCACAGCCGCGAGCAGCCCAGTGACACAAGACTTCCAGACGAGCTAAACCCCTTCTATGCAAGCAACACTGAAGCATGCATGAGAGCACCAGCTGTTCCAGATGACTATGTGATCACGCTCTCCGTAGCCAATGTGAGTAAGACTTTTAAGCAGGTCAACATTCACAAGACGGATTACCAGGACGTGTACTCCGAGCATGTGCTGACCAACTGGCAAGTGTCTTCACTGACATTTTCAACATGTCCCTGACTGATTCTGTAATACCAACATGTTTCAAGCAGACCACCATAGTCCCTGTGCCAAAGGACACTAAGATAACCTGCCTAAATGACTACCGACCCGTAGCACTGACGTCTGTAGCCATGAAGTGCTTTGAAAGGCTGGTCATGGCTCACATCAACACCATTATCCCAGAAACCCTAGACCCACTCCAATTTGCATACCACCCCAACAGATCCACAGATGATGCAATCTCTATTGCACTCCACACTGCCCTTTCCCACCTGGACAAGAGGAACACCTACGTGAGAATGCTATTCATTGACTACAGCTCAGCATTCAACACCATAGTGCCCTCAAAGCTCATCACTAAGCTAAGGATCCTGGGACTAAACACCTCCCTCTGTAACTGGATCCTGGACTTCCTGACGGGCCACACTGATCCTCAACACGGGGGCCCCTCAGGGGTGTGTTCTCAGTCCCCTCCTGTACTCCCTGTTCACCCATGACTGCATGGCCAGGCACGATTCCAACATCATCATTAAGTTTGCCGACGACACAACAGTGGTAGGCCTGATCAGGATAACAACCTCTCCCTCAACGTGACCAAGACAAAGGAGATGATTGTGGACTACAGGAAAAAAAAGAGGACTGAGCACGCCCCCATCCTCATCGACGGGGCTGTAGTGGAACAGGTTGAGAGCTTCAAGTTCCTTGGGTGTCCACATCACCAACAAACTATCATGGTCCAAACACACCAAGACAGTAGTGAAGAGGGCACGACAAAGCCTATTCCCCCTCAGGAGACTGATAAGATTTGGCATGGGTCCTCAGATCCTCAAAAAATTCTACAGCTGCACCATCGAGAGCATCCTGACCGGTTGCATCACCGCCTGGTATGGCAACTGCTCGGCCTCCGACCACAAGGCACTACAGAGGGTAGTGCGTACGGCCCAGTACATCACTGGGGCCAAGCTTCCTGCCATCCAGGACCTCTATACCAGGCGGTGTCAGAGGAAGGCCCTCAAAATTGTCAAAGACTCCAGCCACCCTAGTTATTGACTGTTCTCTCTGCTACCACACGGCAAGCAATACCGGAGTGCCAAGTCTAGGTCCAAAAGACTTCTCAACAGCTTCTACCCCCAAGCCATAAGACTCCTGAACAGCTAATCATGGCTACCCAGACTATTTGCACTGCCCCCCCACCCCCACCCCATCTTTTTACACTGCTGCTACTCTGTTAATTATTTATGCATAGTCACTTTAACTCTACCCACATGTACATATTACATCAACTACCTCAACTAGCCGGTGCCCCCGCACATTGACTCTGCACCGGTACCCCCCTGTATATATAGCCTCCCTACTGTTATTTTATTTTACTTCTGCTCTTTTTTTCCTCAACACTTTTTTGTTGTTGTTTTATTTTACTTTTTTATTTAAAAATAAATGCAGTTGGTTAAGGGCTGTAAGTAAGCATTTCACTGTAATGTCTACACCTGTTGTATTCGGCGCATGTGGCCAATAAAATTGTATTTGATTGGACATCAACTGTCTGGACTTCTTACCGATCGTCACTAGTTACCCCACCTACTTCTTTTTTATTTAGTTTATTTCACCTTTATTTAACCAGATAAGCCAATTGAGAACAAGTTCTCATTTACAACTGCGACTTGGCCAAGATAAAGCAAAGCAGTGCGATAAAAACAACAACACAGTTACATATGGGGTAAACAGAACATAAAGTCAAAAATACACCAGAAAATATATACACCGTGTGTGCGAATGTAGTAAGTTATGGAGGTAAAGCAATAAATAGGCCATAGTGCAAAATGGTTACAATTTCGTATTAACACTGGAATGATAGATGTGCAAAAGATGATGTGCAAATAGAGATACTGGGGTGCAAATTAGCTAAATAAATAACAATATGGGGATGAGGTACTTGGGTGGGCTAATTTCAGAATGGCTGTGTACAGGTGCAGTGATCGGTAAGCTGCTCTGACAACTGATGCTTAAAGTTAGTGAGGGAGATAAGAGTCTCCAGCTTCAGAGATTTTTGAAGTTCGTTCCAGTCATTGGCAGCAGAGAACTGGAAGGAATGTATCTTATTAAAATGTGATTTTATACCTAAACCTAACCTCAACCACACTGCTAACCTTATGCCTAACCTTAAATTAAGACCAAAAAGCAAATGTATATTTTCATGAATTGTTATGATAGACAATTTCGACTTTGTGGATGTGGTAACTAGTGTAAACCCTTCTTACCGGGTTGACGTTCCCTTTCTGACATCGCACATCATGCACTTGAAAGCTTCGGCGGTGTTCCTGAAAGTACATACGCTACAGTCCCAGTATCCATCGTCAGAAGAGGGCTTGGGTTGCCGCTTCGGCCTTCAAACAAAACAAACAGACAGACAGACAGAAGGGGCGCGACAGTGTCAGCATAGCCATTTTAGGTAACATTCATGGATGTGTATTTGTACAAAAACACAACAATACAAATGACTCTTATCTGAGCCGTATGGTCAGATTTACTAGGTAACGTTAAAGTTCTTCTATTTGACACACGGTAGCCCCGGCATAAAAGAGCCAGTCAGCCGCCATGAAGCTACAATGTAACAACCGCTACGCATCCATTGGTCGCATGCTCGGTTTACAAGTGGTAATTTTTCTAGATAAACATGTAATTGTACCTTGTGGGGCTCTTCTTGTCTCCCATCGTATGAAACCTTTATTTGTTTGAACTCAATATTGATTAATTTGACGGAGAAATGACCAAAGCCGCTCTCTGCTCTCGTAAAAAAAAAAAAAAAAACTCCAGTCTAACGACAATGATCACATGGTACCGCCTATCCAATCACTCTCTCAAGGCACTCAAAGTACCCCTCGCCGCCGCACACCGGAACAGGCCGGTCCCGCCCATCACACGTTTTCATTGGTTGAGGCGCTTTCGCATTACCCACGCTCCACACAACTAAACATGCTTGTGCCGCGTTCAAAACAAATGGGAAATCAGAAACTTCCGACTTCAGTTTGTTCATGACATCTGGAAACTCGGCGAAAAAAACTGCTCCGACTGGAAAAATTCGTTTCGACGGTCATCCAACTCGGAATTCCAACTCCGGACCTCGGGCCTCTTTCTAGAGCTCCAACCTGAAGATCACTGACGTCATGATTTGACATCGTATTCTTCCGAGTTCCCAGTTATCTTGACCGCGCAATGAGTTATGTACTTTGCTAAATATGCATTTTGAATGTATAATTCAACTTCGGTATATGTTTAAACACTTTGAAAAGTTTCATACTTTTTTTTTAATCATCAGGTTGCCAAATAAATAAATAAATAAATAAAATAAAAACAGCTAGCTTGCCACTCTAGCTAGCTAGTTAGCTGGCTAACATTATAGGTTTACAGAATAACGTATAACAATACACATAATTGTTTTCTAATCTATTTTTGGGCTAATCATTTCTGTTGACTGTAAATGCTTTTTATGCATGATTTTCACACGTTGAAAATGTTTGTTTACTCCGTTGCTATGGTCACCGGTGGTCGTCGTCCTCCGTGTGGAGTTTGCGGGTCGCCTTCAAAATAAAGGTCCCTCATTGAAAGCGACGCAAACCAATACAAATACTGGAATCATGCCATATTTGGACTAGATCATGTTAAACAAGGTTGGAATGTTGTTACATAATTTTTAATAATTAAATACAATAATTAATTAGTTTGACAACGGACAGTCTTCTGTCATTGGATGTTTGGGAAGTGACGGCAACATTGTATTGACACATACAATGAACCGAATGTATGGAGTTTATTCTGCTAATTTCTACAAAACAGCAAAACTATTTACTGGGATAGGGTTGGATACCATAAATAGCAAGAGACTAAATAAACAAGAAATGTGTGTTTGAGTGAGTGAGTGAGAGTGCAAGAGAGACTGTGTGTGACATTTACATCCTTTAGCAGACGCTCTTATGACATGACAGTGTTGCTGATGTGGCCTTACTTTAAAAAGCACATGCTGTTCTTTACTTGGTTTTGTGACAGTGACCCTCCAAATGACTCCTGAGTTTTGCATCTTCTGTAGCCACTCTTTAAACTGATTTACTCCTTCATTATGTTAATTAAAATGATCAATAACAATCTTTTTCTTAACTACACCTAACCTTCAATTGTGGATCAGTGTTTTCTCTCACATTGGCACAAGTCAATGGGACTTGCCCAGAAACTCTGAGACCAGCAAGATGAAAATGATGAATAAAAGTAATTCATATTTTTCATAATTTCATAATTAATAAACATTATTTAAAAAATAAGCAGAACATTCAGTGTTTCTATGTCAAACTGTTTTGTTATATTTTAGTCTTCTGTAATGTATATAAAGTGTAATATTAGGATGCAAACTCAAAATATAATACATTTCAACTCTATATCTGACATGGTACAGGTGTCTTATTTTTTTTGAGTACATAACCGTGTGTGAGGTGTTGTCACACCCTGATCTGTTTCACATGTCTTGTGCTTGTCTCCACCCCCCACAAGGTGTCTCCCATTTGTTCCCATTATCCCCTGTGTATTTATACCGGTGTTTTCTGTCTGCCTGTTGCCAGTTTGTCTTGTCAAGCCTACCAGCATGTTGTTCCTTACTCCTGTTTTTTCCTAGTCCCTGTTTTCTAGTCCTCCCGGTTCCAACCTTTTCTGCCTTCCCTGAAGCTGAGCCTGCCTGCCATACCGTTCAGCCTGCCCTGGCCTCAAGCCTGCCGCCCTGTACCTTTCGACTCAGACCTGGTTTACAAACTTCTGCCTGTCCTCGACCTGCCTCTTGCCTGCCCCTTGTATTTGAATAAATATCAGAGACTCAAACCATCTGCCTCCTGTGTCTGCATCTTTGTCTCATCCTGTGTCGTTATAGGTGTATAATGCAGGCAAACTTCAATCCATTTAATCTAATTTCTACCAGCATGTCACATGTGCAACCAGAGGAAAATAAAACTTTACTCCATACACAGAGACACGTACAAAGCTCTCCCTCGCCCTCCATTTGGAAAATCTGACCATATTTCTATCCTCCTGGTCAGATGACGCGGATGCTACGCTACAGAACTGATTTGATAGCACAGACTGGAATATGTTCCGGGATTCATCCAATGGCATTGAGGAGTATACCACCTTAGTCGCTGGCTTCATCAATTAGTGCATCGACGATGTCGTCCCTAAAGTGACCATACGTACATATCCCAACCAGAAGCCATGGATTACAGACAACATCCGCACCAAGCTAAAGGCTAGAGCTGCCGCTTTCAAGGAGCAGTATACTAATCTGGACGCTTATAAGATATCCCGCTATGCCCTCAGACGAACCATCAAACAGGCAAAGCGTCAATGCAGGACTAAGATTGAATCCTACTACACCGGCTCTGATGCTCATCAGATGTGGCAGGGTTTGCAAACTATTACGGACTACAAAGGGAAACCCAGCTACGAGCTGCCCAGTGTCGCAAGCCTACCAGAGGGGCTAAATGCCTTTTATTCTCGCTTCGAGGCATGCAACACTGAAGCATGCATGAGAGCATCAGCTGTTCCGGACGACTGTGTGATCACGCTCTCCGTAGCCGATGTGAGCAAGACTCTTAAACAGGTCAACATTCACAAGGCCACGGGTCCAGACAGATTACCAGACCTGTCCTCAGAGCATGCGCGGACCAACTGGCAAGTGTCTTCACTGACATTTTCAACCTCTCCCTGACTGAGTCTGTAATACTTACATGTTTCAAGCAGACCACCATAGTCCCTGTGCCCAAGAAAGTGAAGGTAATCTGCCTAAATGACTACTGCCCCATAGCACTCACGTCGGTAGCCATGAGGTGCTTTGAAAGGCTGGTCATGGCTCACATCAACATCATCAACATCATCATCCCAGAAACCCTAGACCCACTCCAATTCGCATACCGCCCCAACAGATCCACAGATGACGCAATCTCAATCGCACTCAACACTGCCCTTTCCCACCTGGACAAAAGGAACACATGTGAGAATGCTTTTCATTGACTACAGCTCAGCGTTCAACACCATATTGCCCACAAAGCTCATCACTAAGCTAAGGTCCCTGGGACTAAACACCTCCCTCTACAACTGGATCCTGGACTTCCTGACGGGCCGCCCCCAGGTGGTAAGGGTAGGTAACAACACATCTGCCATGCTGATCCTCAACAAGGGGGCCCCTCAGGGGTGCGTGCTTAGTCCCCTTCGGTACTCCCTGTTCACCCACGACTGTGTGGCCAAGCATGACTCCAACACCATCATTAAGTTTGCTGACGACACAACAGTGGTAGGCCCGACAATGATGAGACAGCCTATAGGGAGGAGGCCAGAGACCTGGCAGTGTGGTGCCAGGACAACAACCCCTTCCTCAACGTGAGCAAGACAAAGGAGATGATCGTGGATTACAGGAAAAGGAGGGCCGAACACACCCCCATTCACATCGACGGGGCTGTAGTGGAGCGGGTCGAGAGTTTCAAGTGCCTTTGTGTCCACATCACCAACAAACGTTCATGGTTCAAACACACCAAGAAAGTTGTGAAGAGGGCACGACAATGACTTTTCCCCCTCAGGAGACTGAAAAGATTTGGCATGGGTCCCCAGATCCTCAAAAAGTTCTACAGCTGCACCATCGAGAGCATCCTGACCGGTTGCATCACCGCCTGGTACGGCAACTACTCAGCATCCAACCGTAAGTCACTACAGAGGGTAGTGCGTACAGCCCAGTACGTCACTGGGGCCAAGCTTCCTGCCATCCAGGACCTACAGTGAGGGAAAAAAGTATTTGATCCCCTGCTGATTTTGTTAGTTTGCCCACTGACAAATAAATGATCAGTCTATAATTTTAATGGTAGGTTTATTTGAACAGTGAGAGACAGAATAACAGCAAAAAAATCCATAAAAACTCATGTCAAAAATGTTATAAATTGATTTACATTTTAATGAGGGAAATAAGTATTTGACCCCCTCTCAATCAGAAAGATTTCTGGCTCCCAGGTGTCTTTTATACAGGTAACGAGCTGAGATTAGGAGCACACTCTTAAAGGGAGTGCTCCTAATCTCAGTTTGTTACCTGTATAAAAGACACCTGTCCACAGAAGCAATCAATCAATCAGATTCCAAACTCTCCACCATGGCCAAGACCAAAGAGCTCTCCAAGGATGTCAGGGACAAGATTATAGACCTACACAAGGCTGGAATGGGCTACAAGACCATCGCCAAGCAGCTTGGTGAGAAGGTGACAACAGTTGGTGTGATTATTCGCAAATGGAAGAAACACGAAAGAACTGTCAATCTCTCCTCGGCCTGGGGCCCAATGCAAGTTCTCACCTCGTGGAGTTGCAATGATCATGAGAACTGAGTGGCGCAGTGGTCTAAGGCACTGCATCGCAGTGCTAACTGTGCCACTAGAGATCCTGGTTCGAATCCAGGCTCTGTCGCCGCCGGCCGCGACCGGGAGACTCATGGGCGGCGCACAATTGGCCCAGCGTCGTCCAGGGTATGGGAGGGAATGGCCGGCAGGGATGTAGCTCAGTTGATAGAGCATGGCGTTTGCAACGCCAGGGTTGTGGGTTCGATTCCCACGGGGGGCCAGTATAAAAAAATATATATATATGTATTCACTAACTGTAAGTCGCTCTGGATAAGAGCGTCTGCTAAATGACTAAAAATGTGTGAAAATGAGAACGGTGAGGAATCAGCCCAGAACTACACGGGAGGATCTTGTCAATGATCTCAAGGCAGCTGGGACCATAGTCACC